AGTCTGAAGATATTCTATTTACAGACTTAACACTGCTCGACTTGATAGACGAATTTCAGCGGTATGTATATCCGGCTTTTTGCGAGACAATTACAACGTCACGGTGCATGTCTCATGTTTGCTATAGTTACAAAATGTTGTATAATATTTGTATACTAGACAATATTGAATTATTATAATGGAATTACCAGGGAGTTGTTCCATAATGTGGTCGTGACTGTGTATATCCATTCATTTCCATTACTCCCGAAAACCACAGCTGTAAAAAGGCCAGTTACCGCACAGCCCAACACTGGTGAGTAATTACGACAATGTTTTGAATAACGCTTTACGACCATGTGAGTCTTAAAGACACCGGGGTATATACTCCACACCAAAACTCGTATGTGTCTATTCCACAGACGCGGGCGAAGGGACAAGTTGCTACACATTTAAAAAACCTCGTTTGGGGTTTACAATCCCACCGCAAAACCTTGTGGAGACACATGCAGACACATTCACGTCGTACCAGAGGGTGCGGGGCATATTATCAGATCGCCTGAGAGAAGAGGTCGGTATTATATAAAACATTCTTTTAGGATGGCCATTTAAACGGTCTATAATAAAAATCCCCACCGTTTTTTTGGTAATTTGCTGTGTTGAGTTCTTTCACTAATGGTATTTTCCCACTCCGTGCAGACCCTGGATCTTCAAAAAATAAACTGCGACGAGCCAACACGTTAACTGGGTCAACGAGCTCAAAACGTCTGAAATCAACAAGCAAAGGTTAATATAATTTAAACGTGGTCAAGATGTGTTATGATCTACTTACGGCAAACGTTACTTCTTTTGTTAGGATGTTAATTCGCTGAAAGATCCTACTTTGCGTAGTTTTCTGTTTGGGAGTGTTATAAAACCTTATTTTAAAACTGCTTAGCTTTTAAAGTTAAAAGCGACTGGTCTGTGCGAGGGTCTATAGGCCATTAACCACGCCACTTGACCCAGTAGCGCCACCACAGCCGTAAAAGAAACCGGTGTAACAACATGTCTGGGTAACTTGTTCCATTCACCCACAGCCCAGTGTGTAAGGATGCACCACATGTGTGGCGTTTTTATCATAGTTATCGTAGTTTTCTGATTTTGACAGTTTAGATTTAATTGATTGTTGTGTTGAAAAGTCTTTTATTTTTATCACCATGAAGTTTTCTGATTTGAGATTTGGAGCATTGGCGTGGTAATAAAAAGTCTTTTATTTTTCACACAGCAGCTTGACGAGTGGCGAAACAAATGTGGCGGAAACGTCGGATCTTAAGGTGGTGACTGCATCGGAGACGGCTGTTAAGACGCTGACCAAAACCAGACGTGTCAAGCCTGCGGAGAGAAATCATAACGTGCCTAAAGACTTGGTGCTT